AGTTAAATTTAGGGTAAAACCAAAAGTTATGGCCTAGTAGTGGCTTTGCATCAATCATCTTTATGTAATTTTAAAAATAATCTTTAAATGTTTACTGAGTACATTAATATTCCACAGAACACAGAGGTGGTGGTCCATCAGTTGTGAGAAGGACGTCAGGTTAGTTTGCATTCACTGACAATGTGTGCTCGCTCTCTTCCCTCTGCAAGAGTCTCAGGAAGAGCCTATTCGTGCACATGCATGTGGTGTGTTTGTCATGTAAAGCCTGCTCCAGAAAGAGCCACTTTACACTGATAGAATGACTATGTAATGAACAAAGGAAATGCATGCAGGAAGGTAGGAAAGAGAAATACTGTACCAACTGGCAAGGGGCATCCAGCCCATCCAGGCCAGGCTGGCCTGGCTCCCCTTTTTCCCCCTTAACGCCACGGAATCCCTGTTTGTAAAGATTAACTCAGAATGTTACTAACACAAGAATTCACTTGAACACAAATTCTGCTAAAGAAATAATTAGATCAAAAATGGGCTGGGAGAGGAGCAACTCAAAAGGGAGAAGTAACATCCGGGGATGTTGGGAGCAGTTTCCTAACAGGGCAGGGCTGGTCTGGAAGTGTGGCCTCCTCTTCTGAGGGGCACAGAACAATGCTGGTTCCTCAGATCCTGTATTCAGGTTCCAGCTGCATGGCAATACTTAAGAGTTAAGAAGCCAGGCAGAGGTAGTGGCTGGAGACAAAATGTGGAACCAGGATCTGAAAACCCTGATAACCTGAGATAGACATTTCTGATCACATGTCTTAGAGTCCCTGTTAAATGACCCCACTGGAACTCTGCTGTTACTGGTCCCTCTAGCGTGCTCCTCTCCCATGTCACCCATCACACAGGACATCTGGAGACGGTGCTATGATCAGACATACCAACGGGCAGGGCGCATCTAATCCAGGCGCACCCTGTTCTCCTTTCTCCCCTTTAGGCCCCTTTTTGCCTTTCTTTCCCTTTTCCCCCTGTGGATACAAGGGTTTAAATAAAAGAGAAGTTTTATTGGGGTGTGGTGGTGGATAAAGGTGATTCAAAAGATGGCTTAGCTAAGAAAAGTCTGGAAGGACATTTACCACTGCTTTCTGGTTTAGATAGGCATGATATTATATATTAAAAAAAACACTCTTGGAGTGACAAAACATTCTGGGCAATGGGATGTAGGATTTTAAGTTTCGCAAGAAGATGAAAGAAGCTGAAAGACTGACACATCAGAAAGGCAGATCACTGCTGCCTTTCACAACACTGGCGCAGTCATTGGGAATTAGGGGTTTGGGTCATAGATCTATAGAGAAAGACAGATAGCAACTGTATTAAAGCCAACCAGTGGCAGCTGGAGTTCCGAGGAGTAATGGATGCTTCATCCAGTGTTCAGTACCTGTCAGCTTGCTTTTGTTCCTAGTCCTGTAACATGTGAAAGTTACACTGAACCACAGGAAGGAAAGGAAAGAATATTACCAGCCTCTGCATCTTGAAATCATTTTTTGCAGCTCTCATTAAAACTATTCAATGTATTAAAATACACTTCTATCGCCTTTAACTTTTTTTGTTTTATAGAACTACAAGCAAATGCTGCTTCTTTTTAAGTCAGGTGAACAAATGCTTATAGTCATAATACTTTGCAATGATAGCAATGGGAAGAATAGACAATTATAAACCTAGGGGTTTCTTTAATTCACTTTCTTAGTGATCTCATGCCTGGTGTTTGCAATGGTAAATGAGTTTCCAGCTTACTCGCAATGTGACAAAAAGCCAAAAAAAAAAAAAAAAAAAAAAAAAAGTGTTCCAGAGAGGAAAAGCAGTTTGAACTCAGTAAAAATGAGATAGGCAGGATTATTACCTAGTGGGAATGCAGCCTTGGACATTAGTATTTAGGAATCAAGGTATGGGTGGTAGAACATCTGCATGGCTCCAGGGATGGAGGAATCAAGGGATGGAGGAATCAAGGAAAGGAGGCAAAAGGAGGCAAAGGAAGGAATGCACCGCAGCTGTTTTGCGTTAACATAAATATCCCTGCACATTTACAGACAGGGAGTTGGTGCTGTACAGAATACAAAATATGATACGATACACATTTAAATTAGTGCATTCACTCGGCAATCAGGATGGCAGTTACAATAAATGGAATAATCTCTGAAGCAAACAACATGAATATTCAAAGGCGAGAAGACATACACAACAGAGACATGAGAGTCACTTCAAATTAATACAGTCATTCTGACAGCATGAGTGAAAGCGTCTCATTTATCTCCCGTGTGCCGAAAAGATTGCATCAGAAGGCTCAGAATCAAAACCACTTGGGTTTCTTGAACACTAGGGAAAGAGAAATTCTGGGTAAAGGTTTAGTTGATCATGACCAAAGACAAAGACTGAAGGCAGGATGAAACAAGAGCAGGTATAAGTAGGAAGCAAGAAGAGAGGTGCATTGGGAAGTTGGGTGTGTGTAAAGATGGATGAACATCCTTCCCTAGTGAGTAACTCCAATGCTGTGACATGAATTGATTTAAACTTGTTTGGATGAGTTCTTTCCTCAAGAAGACAGTGGATTTATCTGCAAGTAGGTGTAACTGAGACCAGGTGTGTTGGGTGTCAATTTGGAATTCATTATTTAATTGGTAAATCAACCATTGGCCATTCAATAACAGAGCTGTCATATGAATGTTATTGGCTGGCCACTGGGAATTCATTTATTATTAACATTTTAGTGAGCATCAAGCTTTATGGGAAAGATGCTCATGTACAAAGAATAATATCCCAAAGTTACTAATCAGCACTGATTGTAATATGCAACACAAAGTTGTCTGTCATCTTGGGTATGATCATGTGAGAACTCTTGATAACTTTTTATTCTTCATGTCACAGGATGATATAGATAAAATGTTCACTTTAGAATCTTAACTTGCCTAAATACAAAACTTTAATCATGGAATCTGTATATGGAAATATTTTGTATTAACATTTTTCTGGGGATCAAATTTGTAGCTTTATACATTCATAAACTATAGTAACGGTTATTCTCTTTTCTGCAGTGCTTGGGATCAAATTCAGAAATTCATACATGCAATGCAAGCACTCTGCCACTAAGCTATATACTGCCCAAAACTGGTATATCTCTGTCTGTCTATCCATCCATCTATTCATCTATTTATCTCTTATTTTTTTTGGCAGTACTGGGGTTTGAACTCTGGTCTTCACACTTGCTAGGCAATATTCTACCACTTGAGCTACACCTCTAGCACTCAAATACTGATAATTTTTTAAAGATCATAAAATTTAGTACTTCATGATGATACACTTTTGAGTGAATGAGATTCACAACCCATCAGGTATATATGAAAGGCATATCTTTAAAACACACCCTGTGCTAAAAGCTTTCGTGGGCAATTTATCTGAAAACTGTGTACTTTGTAGTCAGAATTTTTAATTTGGGACAAAATATCTATTCTATGCTTCTGTTTCCTTGTCTGTGAAATGAGAAAATGACAGCACCAACTTCAAGGTAATGTTGCAAGGATTCAGAGATCTAGCATATGCGAAGCTCTCTGGAAAAACATGTAAGTGCTCAGTAGACACGATGATGGTTGACAGTGATGGTGGCTGTTGCTTTGGGATAACCGCTGCAGGAGGCTAAGTAATGTTTCAGCGGGCTTTATAGCCTTCGGCAAATCTTATGTGGCTTTGCTTTTCCATCAGGTAAAAACTTCACCGTCCAAGAGAAATCACTGAGTTTTAAGAGCAGCGTGTTAGGTACAGCAGGGCATGAATTAATCTGAGAAGTAGAACTGGACTAAACTATATTTGTGAAGGTATAATTTCAGCTACTTTAACATTTTCACTATTCTATTGAAGTGATGAGTTTCTGTTGCCTTCTTTTTGCTTTGTCTAAAAAATTCTTAGGTCTGCTAGTGGGTCAAATACTCAAGCAAAGTACAGAGAGAGAGGGAAAAGAGAAAAAAGAGAAATGGAAAAAAATGACTTTTTAGCATGGTGTTGCCATGTCCATGGCCTGCCTGCAGGTTACTGAACTCACGGCTTTGAAGTGCTCTCCCTCTTGAGCCATGCCCTCAGTCCTTTGGCTTTAGTTTGTTTTTCCGATTGAGTCTCCTGCTAACTTTGCCCAGGCAGGCATCAGATTTCAGTCCTCCTGTCTCTGCCTCTCCAGTAGGTGGGATTACAGGCATGCACCATCATGCCAGGCGAGAAAATGATTTTAAAATCCACAATCTAACCTTTTCAGTTATAAAATGATACTGCCTGATACTGGCCCATGAAGTTATTGGTCCTGAAATGAAACCTCAACACTCACTCATAAAATACACTGCCTTCGTTTTAGACACCTACAGCTGTCAGCTCTGAACCTGACACTGAGTCCCAGCCTCTGCACAGTGACCTTACTGTGGTTTATCTGTCACACTGCTTGTCCTCTAGGTATGGGGGCTTGAATTTAGGGCTTTGTGTTTGCTAGGCAAGTGCTCCACCACGTGAGTTATACCCCATCCCTTTTTGCTTTATTTATTCAGATGGGGTCTTGCTAACTTTTTGCCCAGGGTTGGCATCAAACTGCACTCCTTCTACTTATGCCCCGTGAGTGCATGCATTAACAGGTGTGGGCCACTGTGCCCTGCTTATTTGCAGAAGTGGGGGTCTTGCTAACTTTTTGTCTGGGCTGACCTCAAACTGCAATCTTCTCAATCTTCTCCCAAGTAGCTGGAATTATAGGCATGAACCATCACACCAGCCTCTGTTTTTGAACGTAAAATATAATAATAATAAATCAAGGCACACAACATAAGGTACACAATGTATCTGTTTCTTTCCTGGGAATGCTGAAGATAAACGTGATTCTGGCCTTACAGGGTTAGAGGAGTTTTGACAGAATACCACAGCAGGGTTGTGCTATGTGATTTTACTTTTATGAAGCTACTTTCAAAATCTCTAAACGTTACATAAAAATCCCCCCAAACCCCTAGGGTCATGTGTTTGAAGGATTGCAGCTTGGATATCTGGGGCTGGAGTTTTTATTCTGTGCTAGACAGTGCCCTATTTATAGTGATGTAGCCTTCTTTGGTTCTTCTGAAGACCTGACTCCTTAGGTCAGGATCAGTGTTTTTGGAGCACCGGATTGAGACAAGTGAGATATCTGATGGAACCACACAGGTTGAACAGGAAAGCAGAAAACAAGAGCAGAAGCAGGCAGGTCACATGCTGAGAGGGGAGGTCACCTTTTCACCCTTTTCTCCCAGGTCTCCCTTCTCGCCTCGTGGACCAGGGAAGCCCTACAGAATAAAAAGAAAACCCAAGCGATTTATTGGTGTAACTGTCAAATCATATTGGGTTTCACTCATCTGAAATTAGACATAAAAAAAGACATGCCAAATTATCTTAAAACTTGAGTAAAGTAGCACTTAGAAATAGTAGTTTTCTTACATCAATTATCTATATACAATAAGGTTTTTGCTTTTTCTCCTAAGAAATGCAGAGTGGCAAGAATACCAGGATATTAGTTTGAAGCCTGGGAAGCTCACTGGTGTGTGTGGGTTTGGGCAGGTCACTTACCTCTGTGCTTTAGCCCCCCTGATGGCAAATTGGGCCTCACAGGTATCTACCACACAGCTGTTTGGATGTTAAATGAGATGATATACAGAAAGTACCTGCATGATGTCTGCACATCCCAGGTGCTTAACAAACAGTGACAGTGATAACTTGTTATTGTCTTTATTCACACAATACAGGATAACCAGTGATTGTTTCTACAGGCATTTCCTTTTGACACTTTTATAGAATGATGTTAATAAGAGAAAATGCATATAAGGACTTACTGCTAAAAGAAAAAATATTGCATAATAGCTTAGAGGAAAAATATACCATTCCCTAAGGGTAGCATGTGAGAGGTGTATTGATTTTATGCATATTTTTTCCATGTGTGGGTCATGCTGCTGTCAAGTACCCTTAATTTGGGAAAGTATTTTGAAAGCTACTATTCACCGTCCTAATTTTATAGTAGCTGATCATGTTTCTTTCATGCAAACACTATTTTATATTGCTGTCCACATGCACAGCAATATATTCTATGCATAGCTATATGCACAGACAAAATAAGAAGTGTTCTTGCCGTTCTTGGTGATGGAGACCATCAGTATCTATCGTATAAGGAGATGTTTATTGCACATAGTACTTACATCAAGACCAGGCTCTCCATCTTTCCCCTGCCAAAGAACCATAGTAGCTACATTAGTGTTCCTAAGTCCCAGGAATAGGTTATTCTTTTATTTAAGGTTGCCTGGACATGCGACACCAGTATCAGAACAACTATTCTGAAAATGTACAAAGGAATCTGGATTAGTAATACAGACTTCTCTACCTAAATCAAGTTGAAGTGACTGTTAGTGTTGCAGTTAGGGGTCATGGAAATTTTCAATGATGTATTGGGTTAAATAGACTATTTTGCTGAAGTTTAATGAGTGTTATTCAGGCTATTAGCTCAGGAGTGAAATCAAAAGCAAAAATATTGTTTAGTTAATTTTAAAAACACACCAATAATCACAAAGGGTGTGAATCAATGGCACTTTAATTTTATAACTTAGTAGTTACCTTATTCATGAGAAAAGAATGTGAACACTATTTCTTGTTAAATAGTTGTAATTTAGCCAGATATGCACGTTGGATAGAATGAGTATGAAGGTCCCACCTTAAAAAGGTTCTTAAGTAAGCTTTGTAAATCACTGATTCTCAGATATAAAAGGGGTCGTAAGACTGCTATATAAAGATGATAAATTCACCCCCATGCTTCAGGTTATTCTGGTGGTAACTCTGTTATGTCATCGTACTGATCCACAAAAAAAATTCCAAGAATCTGCTTTGACTCAGATTTTGACAACTACCTCAAAATCAGCCTGTTTTTTTTAGTATTTGAAATAGCCAAATACTAAAGTGGCTTAAAGTTTAATATTTCAGTTTAAAAAAGTAGGTGGAAAGTGTATGAAGGTATAAACTTTAATACCATATATTCTTCTTTGTGTCCTACCCTACTGAATTGATATTGCCACAAATATAATGTTTGCGAAATAAACTTGAGACTTCAATTTGGTTCTGTGTAATTAAGGATTTTCAGAGGCTGGAACGCTAACCAACATTCTGAGTTCTGAAGATCATTTTCCTCAGTAATTTAGAAAGGTCAGAAACATCTAGTCATCATAAATATCAATTGATCTTGGGGATAACTTTTACTAACAGGAGTGCTTCTAATAAGCTATGAGAATAAAATAAAATGTGAAGAAGGTTATTGTAGACAAAACTTCCACACCCAGTTTTGGATACAGTGGTGTCAGGAGGGCGTTATTTGACAGGAGGAATCCTGCTTTCAGGTTAGAATTGTTTATGCTCCAGTCTCTGATCCTTTCAATCTTGTGACATGCATGGGTGTGTGTCTGCATACAAGGAGAGGGTGAGACAGAGTGTGACCTATCATCTATGAAGAACATGGAATTATTCACTTTGAAGATAATCAGTGGATTGTCTTTGCTTCTCTGATGGGATTAGTCTGACCCACAAGGGAAGGGTTAACTGTGTCAGTGGCAGATCTTGGATGCATGCTGAAGGTGGTGACTGGCTGAGTGACAGTGACTCACAGGCAGGCCGTAGGGGCCTCTGGGTCCAGGCTCTCCCACAGCTCCTTTTTCACCCTACAATGAAAAGCACAAAGTTCAGATTATATATGCATACTTACCTTTCCACACTTTCTGTTATGGCCTGTGTATAAAGCCTCTATTTGAGGTTCTGGTCCATCAAAATGCTCAAGATTGAGGCTCCTGCAGGGTTACGAGCACTGATGTAGTGAAAGGAATCCAAAGTGGTATATTTTACTACAGGACCTTTGAGAGAGAGGGCAGAAGAGACTGCTGCTACCTGCTCGTGCTAAAGGATTTACATTTCTAGAATGCTGGACATTGGTTTCTTAAGCATTCGTGTGAAACAATTATTTATTGAGTATCCCTTGTCTGAAATACTTGGGACCAGAAACATTTTGGATTTTAAAATATTTGCATATGCATGATATCTTGGAAGTGGAGCCCAAGCCTAACAACAAAATTCATTTGTTCCATGTACACCTTATGCACATAGCCTGAAGGTAAATTTCAACAATACTTTTAGCGTGCTTGTATTTCCACTACAACCTGTCACATGAGGTCAGCTATGGAATTTTCCACCTGTGGTGCCATGGTGGTGCTCAAAGAGTTTTGGACTCTGGAGTGTTTCAGATTTTTAATTTTGGGATTAGGGATGTTCAATCTGTATTACTTTTTTCTATCAAACATGTCTTTAGAGAAGGTCTTCCTTGGCCATCCCCTCCCTTTACCCAGTTCTATTTTACTTCGTGGACACACACAAATAACTGTTTACTCTCTGCTACTAAAATTTGTGCATCAGGGCTCCAGGGCCTCTTGCTTTGTTCCCTATTGCATTGCCAGGATATAGAACAGTGTCCAGTACATCAATAAATATTCATTGGATGAATTAAATCAAGTCAAGTTGTGTACACATTTTGCCTCCTTTTGAAAAAGAGGGTTTTTAAAAACCTTTATGCTTTTATTAAATGCTGATAAGGCAGGTACATATTACCTTCATCATTCTTGTTCCTAGTACCTATCTGATAGAATAGCTCAACACAGCTTAAATGATATAATCGCAAATGCTTATAAAGAAAAGTGTTGGAGTTGATCCCATGAAGAGAGATAACTGTGCTACTAATACAGACATAGTCTTCCTTCAAATAGTGTTTGCCATCTCCAGATTAAAGTGTTTGATAGTATTTAGCAAGACAACTTCAGGAGCAATGGTGATGATTACGTAAATAGCCTAACAGAAAACGTTAACCTCTCTTATTGTTCCTGTGAAGCAGTTTAATGGTTAGATCTTTTCTTTCCCCATGGGTAAAGCCAGCACCCCCTAATAACTGCTTGTAAAGGGACATGACACACTTATGTTTGTCTAAGCTCCAGGCTTCCAGGTGAACAGATTTCAGTTTTTTTTTTTTTTTTTTAATTTAAGGGGTTAGTGCAATTAATTAGCACTGCCACCAGAGACACACATAATAGGGAGATTATTGAAGACAAATATGATAAAAGTGTGTGGAACTTTTACAATAACGTAACAGCAATTGCACTCAGCAAAGTGGCCAGGCTTTGAATGAACCAGATTTAGGTTTGAATCCCTGTTCTGGCACTTTCTGGCTGTGAGGCCTCTAGCTACTTTCTCAAACTTCCTGTGCCTGAGTTACATTAGGCACAAAATAAGAATTGTAATACACATTCTGTAAGAATCATTCTGAAGATTAAATGTGACAGTAAAATAGGAAGTTATATGGTGGCAAGTAATAGGTACTATTGATAGATATTGCTAATAGTTGCTGGTCATATTTTTAATGAAAAGAACTTGACAATTTAAAGAACATGAATTTAAAATCATTGTTTAATTTTCAGATTGACTTTTAAAACAGTGGTGTAGGTGTTGGGAGGTGGGGGTTATAGGCAGGACTCACATGAGCCACAGCAGGTCTAGTTTGAAATCACTAAATATTAGAGTGGATTTACTTTGGAAAAAAAATTTCCATGGATTATTTTGATATCCACAGTTCCTTCCCTTTTCTCCACTAAGAATCTTGGCTTTGTTTGGTTTTTAAAACCAACACACTGTGGCTTATTTGAAGAAAGTGGTCACTAAAACATTTGTTTGTAGAACTCCTTGACTAGCCTTCCCCAAATGATTACTTTAAGCTAATGAGGCAGCTCCATTTCTCTGGACAATTACATCAGAAATGGACACATGACCCAGTGCTGGCCAATGATGCACTGGGGGACAGCCAGTGAGCTGGCAGTGCTGGGGAAGGTGTCCTCCCTGCTTACAGACCCCTCCTCTCTCAGGGAGAGCTCTGTCCTCTGCCTGTTTTTGCCAGGGATACTTGGAACCACTGCTGCCAGCTCACTTGGGGTCAGGAGACAATGCTTCTGAGCAAAGCTCAGAGCCCTCTTTTGTCTATTTTGTTCTACGAAATCATCCATTTCTCATTTAAGCCAATTTGAGTTTGGGTTCTGCCTCTTAGAGGCCAAAGTACCCTAATGTTCCTATTTTGAATATATTTAGGAATGAAATATTAACACAGATATTTGAATGTGTAACTTTCCTGGATTAAGCAATTCTGAAAGAACTCGAGGCCCTCAAACTTAATACACTACAGAATTCCAAAGCAGTTACAAGGTCATGGGAAGAAATCAGCTGAAGGCAGGGAGCACCAGGTGCTTGGAGAGCTGTAGATTAAAAACTGTCAGTCATGTATTTAAGAAAATTGAGTAATAATGGCTGTCAAATGACTCATTTCTTTTGGGCTGGACTGACTTCATTCAGGCTCTTTAATTTGCATATCTACACTGAAGAATTATTTTAGATTGCCTCCCTTTGCAGATTCCTACATCTTTAAAAACTGAAATTTTTTTAAAAAGGATCCCAGATCCTCAATTGACTTTGAGAATCCCACTCAGTTTAGCACTTTGGGTGAGGAGCATTTGGAGAGTGGACACATGATCCGGTTAAGACGTTAGTGTGCTGGATAAACACAAGTGTAACACCATCACCCTGAGCTCCATCTGACTTCAACTATGCCTTCAAAAATTCTTAGCGACTTCATTTGCTTCTCTGGTTAATTCGGCCCCAGCACTGAGACCTGATATTTTTGTGGAGCTACGGAAGTAGCAGCTGATTCACCAAACAGAAAACCCTCTTGAGCCCTGGGGTACTGTGCAAAGGATTGCCTGAGATTTGCTGCTCTAATTTTAGCACAGAGGCTTGGTTTCTTTATGTAAAGCTTGAAAGTGAATCTGTATCAGCAGCATGGAGGCTCTAACCTCTGAAATATATTTAATAAAGTGATATTCAGAAGTTGGTTTGAGCTTAGAAATGAGACAATGGCGGCTTCTGATTATATGCTTCATTAGGACTCAGTTCTCTCTAGAACCATTTTTGGATAAAGTCAGTCTTCTTCACTGTATGTCTAGCCTCTCCTATTTGAATTCACTTTGGCCTCATTCTTTGGCTATTTCCTGCATACCTTTTTTCCCACTTTGCAATTAGATTGTAAACTCTTAGGTCAAGGAAAATAGCTGCTTCCTATGCAGCACCGAGTATATATAAGTATTAATAATAGACTATGGGCCAATGAGTCAATTATAATGTTATTTTTCAATGTACTGGAGCAAATTAGCATAATAGGCTTTCTGTAAGTAGGAGGAGTGCTTCTTTTTACACTAAAAGTAATGCTTTACTAGCATTTGATAAGTATTTATTGCATGAATGAATTCACTTTATAGAATGTAGTATTAGAGGACTGGAAGGCATGTCCAAGAAATCACTACCCAGTTCTTTCTTCCTTTAAAGTAAATTATTCCAGACTGATGAAAGCTATCTAGTTTTAAAAGACTACAGACTTGCACAGTGAATCATGCTAACAGTTTGAAGCCCTCACTTTTTGAAACTTTCTTGATATCCTCTCCTGGATGGTGGGGAGGTTGATGACATAAGTCCACTCAGATACACAAAAAAACCTTGAGTTTTCCAAGGCGAGGAACACAGGGAGAGAGGGAAGAGAAGTTCCAGACAGATGACCGGCTGCTGATGCTGCAGTGCATTCTTTTGTGTCGGATATTTATCTTCCCTTCTGAACACTTTTTTCTCCTAAGGATATGGAAACATGGCCTAGCAATAGAGAGGTTCATGAAAGGTTTTTGTTTTATAATGCACTGAAATGATTTCCTTATGGCTAAAGAAAATCAGGCTATTCTTTGGCTAAAAAAAAAAAAGGGAACATGTATAACTATACAGAGAAGAGTAGTTAGGTTTTGTAATTTCCTTTGGAAAAATGTTATAACTTACTCTGAATGAATACAGTAGTTTATATTAAAGATTATCAACCAGAATATGTAGTTCTGGAAAAGTTAGTCCTGTTGACTTCAACCTTCTGGATGAATGCCAAATAAAAATATCTTCCTTATGGGTTAAGAAATAATAATTGCAGCTATTTATTTTAGCTATGTAAATGTATGCATTGTTTTTATTAAGGCAGCCCTATACTATTCTATTTAATACTCTGTGGTTTTCTTCTTTCAGTGTGAGGACTGAATAGAACTTGAGATAGTATATATTTTCATTTAATACTAGATAGTCCTTTATTTCTTCTGGAAAATGAGCAGTTCAAGTTCAATTAATATGTAAAACCATGCTCTGTATTTTCTTTAGTACTTAGCTTGAGCTTAACAACTTTGGAAACAACTTACTCTTTCTCCTTTGGGACCTGCAGGGCCATGAGGTCCCATAGGGCCATCTGTACCCTAAAAAAGATGAAAACAAAACTTGTATGAGACATGTGACAAGGGCTGCAAGAAACTCAGAGGTGATTTATCCTGGACCTTTGCTGGTGAATGATGCCTTAGGATGTCAGTAAGACAACTTATTTCCTTTCAAACTGCTTCGTACTTGATTTTTTTTTTTCAGGCCAGTGCTGTTTGAGAAACTCATGCAAAAGGGACGAGTTACAGAACTGTATCTTTCAATGAAGAGTACACACAAAGAGCCACAAATCATATTTGGTTATCTATTTCCTGCCGGACCAAAGGAAGCATCTTCACTCTGCCCTCATCATCGCAATGAGAAAAATGTCTTTCTTCCTGTCACCTTGTCCTTTCTCCATATCCACTGCTCTCTTTGGCCAGACATGCAGTGAAGCCTTGTTTTTAGCTGTTTAGGCAGCTTCACAAGCTATACAAGTAGAAAAATACACTCAATGGGAACAGTGTCCAGATGTTCCAGCCGAACTTTCTACAACTCTTGGGGACAATGGGGACTTATAGGGAAGGAATTCTTCTAGGTTCTGCCATGGTGGCTGAAGCCATTGGACTAACACTTGGCAAGCAGGATGATTTAATGGCATAATTGTCTTCCGGCCACCTGGTTAGATCAGGACTAGGATTTCGGTGGTAGAGGAGGTAATATTTGAATGAATATAATGAAAAATATAATAATAATGACTTCCCAAAACAGGTTTTTTTTTTTTTTAGCACTGACAAGCCTGGAATTTCTTTTAGATTAACTATGTATAACGAGGATTTCAGTTCATTTGCTCATTTGCTAGGAAGACATGCTTAGATTGGCGAATAATTTATTATAATGTCTACAAATGTAGAAACGATTTCGGTAGTTCTCCCATTTCTATTCCAATATTCTGGCATATTCTGAGAGAGCCTTGTGCTAGGAATGAATTCAAAGTTTCACATTTATTCTAACGTTGGTGAATTCTCAACTCAAAGTTCATCTTCAGAAGACTTCTACATACTGAGTATCTGTAGTTGAAATTTAAGATATGGAATTGTTAAAAAGCAAGAAAAGAGAGAAAATGACCAAAGCTAGGCAAGTAATTTCCATGAGCAGAGACTTAGTTCCAAGGAGGAAGTTACATTTCTAAAATGCACATAAGCCTAAAAGGAAAATTAAGTTAGAATAAATTCATACTATTTTAATCTCTTCAGAGGGCCTCTCTCATGATTATAAGGAATGTTTTACTGATTATGGAAAAATGCTAAGACAATGAAGCCAATTAGACTGCTCATTCTTCCCACCTATCAAATTATCCAGACTTGAACTTGGACACTGAAAAATGTTCTGGCAGGCAGTTTAGACTCTGCTTCAAATTGTGTTGCAATCCATTCTCTGTCTACTTTTCCACCATCTTTGTCCACTTCCTCCTTTGGCTCCAGCCCTGAGTACCCCCTCATCATCTGACGAGACACGTGAACAAAGGGGTCTATCCTTATGCAACTGATTCACAGCCACAGAGCATGTCAGAGCAAGATGAGGGACTGACTCACCCGGGATCCTGGCTTTCCGTCTAAGCCAGATGCTCCCTGATTTGGTTGGTAGCAGGGTTGGTGGGTGTAACACGAATGACAAGAACAGAGATTAGTATGAGGTACTGATGAACAAATGTAACACTTCAAACAACATGATACACAGTCACAGAATTCTGGGGTGAATATTACATTGCTACTAATTGTTAGTTAAAAAAAAAACCACATGACAATAAACACCCTACAGACAATGGCATTTTAATGACATTTCTACCAGAAAATTCTTATGTAGAAATCAAGTGAATATAGTTATAAAGTGGATTACAAAGTAGATACTGCTAACAGTATCTACCTAAATTTAGAAATTCATTTTCCCAAGACTGTATCATTCACAATATATATTTTTTAGGTGCTGAAGAAAAGGAATGGAAATCTCGCTAGCACAGATCTCATTATAATAATGAAGATTAGTCTTGGAGGAGAAAAACAGAGCTCTAGATATACTTGTTAAAAATACTTTTATGAACAATAAATGCTGGGATGACTGGATTTTATATGGACAATATTCATCCTTTTCAAGGTTGTTCCTACTATTCCCTTAGTCACCACTAGAGGGACTTCTAAGAATAGGGAAAAAAAAAAAAAAAAAAAAAAAAATCTGTGAGACCTAGGTAAAAATAACTCCCAAACTTAACTGCTCCTCAATTCACTTCAAATAATCCTTGCATTGAAGCCTGAATGAGAAATGACTTAACTGAACTGAATTGTTCTTGGGCAATGCATGCTTTTCCTTACGTTGAACTCTAGGCAACAGTGGATGATAAAAAATGACATTTTCAATGCTTGTTTCAAAAATAAGTATAATTACTTCTTTGATAAGGCTTTTGTATCCCAAAGCCCAAGTATTTACTCAGAATACTTTAAAAATATTGATCAGATCAAAGAGTATTTAAGAAGACAATGCTTTGGTCCTGTAAGTTCTGATGGCAAGGTTACAGAACTATTTTCCAATTTTATGTTTCAATGTTATTAATAACACAAAATGAAACAAAAAAATCTATTCCAGCTGCAAACTCTGCCAATCATGTGATACCATACACATTCTGGGTATTTTTAGATTTTTATTTAAAAATTCCTTCATCCTATTAAAATGAATACTGTAATTGTAAAATACTTTAGTTAGCAGCAATTACAGTAAAAATACATATTGCTATCTGATGTTCCTAATTGTAGCAAAGGCAGAGCTTTTTGGCTAAATGTTATATAAAATTTATCAAGGGCCCTCAAATTGAAATTAGAAGAAACTTCAAAGGAATCAGATTAAAAATTAGAAAAGCCAAACGTTCTTTTACTTTTTGATATTTTCTTTATAACAGTTAAAATGTGAAAGTGGCAATAAATTTTATGTTGATGATATAATGCTGTGTCTGCCAGGAATGCTGACTCTGGGCCTCACATGTGATAAGAAGTTTTATGCCTAGGTGCCATTGATTCAACTGGTAGACCTTGGTCTATACTTTAATGTGGGGCCGGTATGAACCATTCAGTAAGTGAGCATACATGCAGCGTCGAGTGGGTCCTGATCTGCAAAGCACTGGCTCTCAAGTGGAGGACTTCAGTATTTAAGACATAGTACCCATGGGAAAAAATGAAATAAGTGGTCATTGGCTTTCTTCTCTCACATCTCAAATATATGTACAAGTGATTTTGTGTTATTGATTTTATGCCACATTTTACTAATGTATTCTACAATGTGCTTTACTGACTTCCATCTGCATTTACTGAAAAGGCAGAATATTGAAAGCTTGAAACTAAACCCTCATATTCAATAATTTTTACAAATCTTTTTGGTTGTAGAAAGGTGGCTGGCAAAAAGTCCGAGAAAGGGGGAAATCCCTTTGTCATTAGGAAAAAACCTCTACACAACTGCAGAATACTGCTGTCATACTACCCATATTGCCACAATGACCTCATCACAGAGAATTTTCAAAACAAACAACATAAAACATGTAGAACACAATGTGACTGAGTAATGTCAGGAGCCACAACACTGACCTCATGCCATCAACAATGGCCAATTGCATACCTGCCACCAACATAGGGCTATAAATTTGATATTCGTGGAGAAAAAGAAAACTAAATAGAAAAGCATTTGGGATAAATTATGAACACACGTTTTAGAAGAGGATGATGGGAGAAGAATTGTCAGCCCTGAAAGGGGAAGGTTGGCATGTATGGAATTGAAGAATGACAGAACATTTACGGCATTGTTTGTTACGGGATCTTCCTCTGACACAAAAGCAGAAATCATAGAAAACCAAACTGGGCTGAGCTCTGCTCTGACATAACATGTTTCCTAATTATAGAAATCTCAACAGTAAGATAACTACCGAGTAAACCAGAATTGCTGCTTAAGATAGAAAGAAGAGATAAGTCCGAGATTTGCACTGAAATGGAAAGTTTTCTTTACTTACTGGAAGACCAAGGGGTCCTCTGTCACCCTTTTGACCTGGTTCACCCTTCAATCCTTTAACACCATTTAACCCTGGTTCACCCTAAATGCAAAAGCAAATGCCAATTTTGGTTGCTATTATGGGTGCTTAAACTATGAAAGAAGAGAGCCAGTCTCTGAAATAATTGCAGATTCCAGTTTTAGGTAACAGCAGAGTTGCATTAGTTTAAAAGTTAATTTAAAAAATAGGGCTGGGGATGTAGCTCATTTGTTCAAGGCCCTGGGTTCAGTGCCCAGCACCATATACACACAAAAAAAATCAGATAAACCGAAATTGTGAGTTGAATAATATTCTAGAAAGCAAGACTCCCAACAACATGTGCTCTTTGCCAAAGCTGTATGACTGTGATTCTAGGTTTTTGAGCTCTGTCTCAAGGAAATTTGTGTGGTACTACATTGTTTTGATCAAGCAAATCAAAGACAATCAGAGTGTTAGATGCTGAAGAATGGTTCGGTAGGAAAAATCTACTCTGCTGGAATGGAAAACTGGAATATGCAGGACTGTGTCACAGACACATATTTTAAGCCTTTAAGCATTTTTTCCAGAGGAATGAGCTAAAAATGTAGCCACTGATGTTTGAAGTAATGCCATTCAGTAAGTCTTCATTTGGGGACATTGCCAAGTCAGTTCCCTAGGATTAACCAATAGAGTTGACAACAAATTATCAATCCAAAAAGAGAATATGAAAATCAAAGAACTTGAATATAGTTTTACTAACTGCCCATCTGCCCAATGTTAAAATCAAGGAGGTATGAATTTAACTCAGGGCAATGTTATAAGAGTCATGGTAAGTGATAAATTCTCTTCACTGAGTTTTGTAAAATCTAGGAATACAGTACACCTATTTCCTACCAGTGACAGCACACCAGAGACACAGTTCTTATCTGAACACTTTTCAACTTTTAAATACAGATAGGGCCCCCACCAGACCATATAGTACAGGAATGGGTATATTTTACAAGTCTCACACCTGATTCTTCTCATTAGGAGATTCTGGGAAACACAGATCTAGATTCATCCACGGAACCATACCATACTGTATGGGTCAGAATTAAAAACCCATCTATCAGCTTGTGATTTGTAATGAACATCCTGGCATAACATACTGGATTTGAGGGATTTTGAAGATAGGAGCTTTCAGTGCAGCCACAATAGGAAATTAGAAAGTGCTATGGTTGGTAAGGTCTGATCCTAAGAATGCCAGTCACAGTCAATGTGAAAGAAAGGTGAAGGCTCAATAGTCAATTTTAGTCAACCAGTCTTGAGATCCAGGGCTTTGCATTTGTGTGCACTTTTAATGTGTGGTCTTGAGATGATGAACTGGCTGAGACACCTTAGTAGGTTATGAAATTCTTTGGTGGGTAATATACATTGATACGAAAGGTACTAATTGAGAAGGTCAGTTTAAAAACAGTTAAATCCTGTATCAAAAAGACCAAATTTCAAGTCTGGACCAAATTCTAGTCCAAGATCTGATGTTAACTACTGTGTAATTTGGGGTAAATAACCAAAATTCCTGAGCCTGTAGTTTATCCACTATAAAAATCAAGGAACTAGCATAGATCATCTATAAGGTCTTTTCAATTTTATAATTCTCTGATATCTAGGATTTAAGTAACAATTTTATATACAAATAAATTATTGCATTTTAGATATCAAAAAGATGTGGACATCTCTTAACTGAATGGTGATGGCATATCTTAATCACCATAAAATTAAAAACAGTCTTAGTCTTTGTCATGAGACTAGTCTTTGGTGGCACCTTCAATTCCAAGAAGAAACCAAGAATGGAAGCATGAATTTAGTCCAGGATGGGGGAAAATGGTCCAGAGAAGTTGAGTAACTACCCAAGTCACAAGCTGATACATGGGGACTCTCTCTTTTCACCCTCAGAATGATATTCTCACTGCAGACTCGACTCCTTGCTTCTGAGACACTGTCGCTTACAGGAATTAGCAGAATATAAAATATTCTAAGAAGAAAGAGGTATAAACAAGTCCCAGTTTTGGATGTCACTTGCCTGACCATAAAAAGAAAACCTTGAGTTTTCTGCTGTCACTCCTTTAGCTGGTGGGCCAGAAGGAAGCTAGTCCCCACCTTTCTAGTCCCCAGAGGATTGGGTAGGCTACCTCTGGGCTTTCTGATCCCATTGGCAACACTACACTTCAGGTTGTCCTACAGGCCTACTATACAAAGGCAAAGAACAAGTGGAGGCCATCTTTATAATGCAAGCTATGCAATTTTGACAAAGAGGGGCTTTTCTTCATTGTTCTTCTTTCTAACTCAAAGCATATAGACCCCATGTAAGTGATGTGATATCCCACCTGACATACCCATCTCATTTTAGACACACTCCCTGGGAAGTACAAAGCTAAGATGCTGGAGAGTCAAGGCATGGAGATGCACCACTATTATACGACAAGCAAGAATTTTCAATTAATAACAAATAAAGCTAGAACAGCATGAAAAGAAAAAAGTACCTGCACTAGTCTGAGAATCTTATCAGGTGAATTCTAAATAGACTTGAGTACACTATAATTAGTAATTTAAGGAACATGTAAGTGACAAGGAGTGAAGCAAAATGTGGAGTGATTTACCTCCGAGTGATATCACCTAAATTTGCAGTAAGTCATTTTGTATTATGAGATTTAAACATCTGGATGCTTAAAGGCTTAAAGATTATCAACATTACTTGACAAATAAATAAGACAGGACAGACATGCTTCTCTGCGATCATCAAGGAAAAAGAAATCAAGTAATCAAGGGATTTGTTGGATTACCTTTGGTCCAGGAAGTCCATGGGGTCCCTGAAAATGGAAAACACAGTTTTTAATAAGAGCTGATTCACTGTTTCCTAGCAGAAGCGAATATTCTATCAGGTAACAAAAGGGATGTAAAACAAGAATCTTCTTGTTTGAGCAGTAGCTAGAGGCAGGTTGGTGAATGTTATTTATTACCTATGAAACATTCTTTCCTGTTCTTGGACTGCTCTGTAATAAGAAATTCATTAATAGCAAATATGCCTGCTAAATACCTATGAAGGGTGGGAGAAAGCTGACAAGGTTACATGGAGGAAAAAATTAGGAAAAAACCTATTTTGAATTCACATTACTCCTATTTCTTGAATTTTCATTTTCAATCTGGTAAAATATTCAAGGTGCTTCATGAGTTTAAATGGAATAGAGGAAGGACTTAAAAGCCAGAAATTTACCAAAGGAAAGTCCCATACTTTCAGTACCAGGGAACAGGAGACCTTTTTCCTTAACTCCTCCATACCCAAAGTGTTGAAGAATCTAATGGAGACGGGGGGGAGGAGATGACCATCAAGTGTGGAACTCCATAGCATCATTCACTTAAGATTAAGGAAGGCTAAGAATTATTATTTGTATTGCATTTATTTTTACAAAGATGAATTCTTCAAGGCTCTTGTAATAGCTGTTATCAATGGAAAGAAGTCATAATGCATGCATGAATCAGGAAAAAAACCGCAGGTATTTTTGGAAAATATAAATATCGAGATTAATTACAAACTTAAATTAACAAGGTTGCTTTAAAAGTTTTCATGTGATTTAAATAAACTATTCAGTGAGGGGGGCATTTAAATATCTCTCAGTGAACTAAAACAACAGGAAAAATTTTGACCAAGCAGTGCCTAGATATTTGTTACATATGTCTACATTAGAATAATATTTTTCCTTTAGATAAGTTGTAGATAAACATTTTCAGGAAATGACTGTTATTTTATTGGGTATTCTTATCTCATTTTAATAATGGCTTAACATTCCTTTAAGCTAATTAGTTTTAGCATATGAACAGGATGTAGCATTTTCTAATATAACCTTCTAACTTAAAGTGGAGGGAGTATCAAAAAGCCAAAAGTATTCCGTTCCCTAATTCTTAATGAACTATTTCGTTTTAAGAAAACAAGATCAATTGGAGTTGTTTTGTGTTACAAAACAGAAATGGCAGTTGGTATGAGATGGCTGATGTGGCTTGGGTCACTCCCATGATGCCCTCTTTAGAGAGAAATAGGAGGAATTGTGACCACACTTCTGTTTGTCTTTTGTTTTACTGAGCCACCTTAGAAGTGAATGTGATCCCTATCCTGCCCCAGTTGAAAGCACATGAAACACCCTGCCTTTTACATTTGAGCCTTAACATGCTGTCATTCCTCTGGCGTTTAGAGAATTACACTTGTCTAATGGCTGCCTTCTTCAGTGCATATAAGTTCTCTGAGATCAGAGCCACTAGGTCCATGCACAATGACAAGAATCTACAGTACACACTGGGCCTGGCTCAATGACTCACCAGAAGTATCAAAAACTTGAAAGGAAAAAAATACAACTGATGTCACCTGTGGAAGTCAGCGTCAATTTTTACCACATTATTTCATAAAATGGTCTCACTGGACATTTCATTGATGCATCTCAAACCTCAAAATTGGTTAGAAGCATTTTTAATGGCCTAATTATTATCTTATTTTGCTACTCACAGATTAGAGCAGTGACTGGTTAAAACAACGTGCCAATGTTCCTATGGTATGGTTGAAGTAAGCTGACCAGATCTGTCTTTCCTCAACTGTCCTATCTCTTTCCAGCACATGTGTTTGAGGGAGTAAAAGACAATGTTGTGAAGTCAGTTCATCCCAAAGCACCTCGTATTTTCTGTCTATCCCACAGAGAACAGTACAGAGCACACTGTTCAGTGGGATATGTTAATGTTTTCTTTAGTAGCATACTCATAAATAAATGATTATATTTAAAGACAACTCACCATGGGGCCAGGTGGGCCATGGGGACCTGGGGGTCCTGGTGGGCCTATGATCTGTGTATCCAAAAAATAAACACGGATTTGGTTACTTCATTTAGATAAGGCAGTTCAGCGTTCAGAGTCTTGTGCTGGGGCTCTGCTAAGACCATTAATAGTTACAGAGGAGGAAGGGTTCTGCAGGAAGTGATATGTTTGATTCTCTAGCTTTAAAAATTCTTTATGAGCATAAAATAACTTCAGAAACCTACAGTTGTCCTACAAAAGCCAGAATAAATAAAAAGTAAATTAAAAGAAAAGGAAGCAACTGGTTACCAAGAAATTCTATAATGCTACAACCACTATTAAACTCTCAAATACTTCATTAAGCATAAACAGGGTTCTGGAGAAAAGACAGAACATACGTTCTATTTTTGCAAGGCTCTACCTACAAGCATTATGGGAAAACCATTGATTTTTCTCCTCTGAGAAAAGGCTTCTGACTCAAGCTTCTGAGACATTCTGTCTCTCATTATATAAGGCGGACATATATTTCTTCTATAGTTTGACAAACCAATGGCTTATGGTCTTTCTACTACTGATAAGCCATCTGGCACAGGTGGAGCCAGGTAAATAACAAATCTGTGTCAGTTTTTTAGGAACTACAGAAGTTCAGTCTATGGACTTACAGAAGGACCCTGAGGACCTGGCAATCCTGAGTCTCCTTTTTCTCCTTTCACTCCATTGGCACCCTACAAATAACCAGTAAGTAGAGTTAAGCAGGTAAAGTTATTTCCAAAGTACAAAAGATGACTGAATTTTTCCCCAAACACATCATTCTCTTGAAATTTTATAATATTATGCACATGATATATAAAAAGAAGGATTTATCTCCTTGCATTTTAGCCTAAACCAGCAAGCTTAATAAAAATCCCTAGGATTGTGGATGATATGTAAAATAAAATATAAAGTAAACACTCACTAGGCTGGGCTTGATTGGTTAAACTTTCATAGTATTAAATACATTGGGTTATAAATGTTATATTTTCTTGGTAGTGCTTATTTTAAATAGCAGAGGTAAGCCCCCTTTAACATCATTTCCATTGGCATTTATTTACATCCTTGCTTTAAAAAGATCTAGGGCAGTGGAATTTAATACATTAAAAAAATAACTTCTACATTTCCTCACCAAATTCTTAGTAAAAATTATGAGGGTAAAACCAAAAAAGCCCCATTCCACAGTTTTATACACACAAAGGGAATTCTTTACAAAGTAACCTGTTTAATTATTCTCTGTTTTTGGCTTGGCTGTTTCTTTGTGGTTTATTTTTAAATGATCAGTTATCACCATCATATGCATCCTAAATTAAAGTGACCAATTATATTTATTTTACCATCTTCTAATGAAAATAAATCAGGAAAACATTACTTTGTAATTTATTTGGCTACACGTTTTAAAGACTTAAATCCTCAGCTAGGGTAGTAAACCAATAATACCTCAGATATTTCAAAATACTGTAGAAATTGTTAAAAACATAATTTTTTGACTATTTAATTTACCTTAGTAAGAACACACCATAAAAAGTATAAACATACCGGTAATCCTGGAAGTCCAATTCCTCCTTTTTCACCTGGCAGGCCTGGGTCTCCCATGTCTCCCTTTGAGCCCTTGAATCCCTACAAGTGACAGAATGTACATGTAAGAAAAGTGACAGAATGCACATGTAAGAAGTACAGTGGTACCAACTAGTTACATCCTGGGGCAAATACAATTCCAGATCAATTTTGTCAAGAGGTAGGTCCTATGCTGAGATGATCCTGATTTTCATTTTAGGTATTTCTCACAACAGCCTTCTACGTGGACTAAATACCCATGTAATAGAAAGAATAAAGTTCTATTAGGCTACTTAAATATGAGCTTAGCTTTTGACATTCTTTCTCCTAATTTCATATATTTACCTGGAGTCTAGTTCTATCTTACCAGTCCAGAAGACAACTTAATGCCCTTAATTCTCTACAGTACAGCATACATTTTGAACCAGGACCTGGTGCTACAATAAAGGTCCGGACAAATTCTCCCATCTTCACACATCCTCCCCTTTCCTCTTAACTGAATATGTAATCTCTAGTCATCATAGTCCAGTGGACAGACAGACAAATCATTTACTGCACACCAATGCTCGAAAATACTGGAACTTTTTCCCAGTGTTATTTTGTTCTCATGACATCTCTATGACTATTATTTTTATTCTCCTTCTAGAAGGAGGAAATAAATGTGCATTTTGAATGCTAACAAATGTGAGTTGTGTCACTCTATATTGATATTAATTTATATTGTGAGGCATTTTCAACCTAGGGACCTTGCTGCTATATGACCCGATGGCCCATTCTTCACATTCTTCAGTGGAGATTTCATGGTTCTTATGGTAAGGGGCCCCTCGCTGCACAAAGCTGTTCTTTTTAGGAACAGGAACATATCTTTACTTGTCAACCATACTAATTTCACAGCACCTAGTTCAGAACCACACACTGGGGGAGGGGTAGGTGTCTGCACGGATAACGGCTCTTGATGGTTAACTGGAGACCTTGTAGAGCCCATAGAAAAAAAAATCCAGCTATTGTATATGCAGGGCCATTCAATGTGTTATTTACTTTTTCTTTTCTTTGGTGGTACTGGGGTTTGAACTCAAGAACTCACACTTGTTAGGCAGGTGCTACTTTACCAACCTAGTGTGTCACTTCTTATTTCAAAAAAACTAATAGTGGCAGAGATAATCCTAATTCTAATGTGACCTTTGATGACTGTAGAAAATCCTCTAAAGCATCTTTTACTATCATGTTTATTTAGTGTGTCATTATATGACTAGAGCATCCAACTGTGATAGTAAAAGTAACTCTTCGTCCAAACTTAAGTTTCTTGCCTAATACTTCCTCCTGGGAAGTATATGATACACTGACTGTATCAAGAATTCCCTTGAATTTCTTAATTTGAGCCATTTCTTGGGCAAATGATGGAAGCCCATAAAACATTAAAGAGCTTGAAGCTAACCCTTGTGATTTGACTCTGAATACTGTCTATATTCTAGTAGTAAAACTCTTAACAGGCAGGGATCACCAACCAAAGCTCACATACCAAATCCAATCTAGGGGCTGTGTTTTAGAAAGGCTGGGTTTTTTTTTTTAAGAGGTGTTTTAAAAAAAGAATATGTGATAGAGACTGCATGTTGACCGGCAAAGACTGAAACATTTAGTATCTGATCCTTTATAGAAAAAGTTTGCCAAACTCTACTTTATGTCAAATTCTCAAAGATACTGCTAAACTCTGCAAACCTATAAGGTCCTGCTTGTTTCTGTCTTTTCCAACCATCTAGTACCTTATGTGAAGTCTTTATATGGGAAAGGAAAACAATGTCAAATAATGCATATAGCTAATGTTTTGAAAACTATAGTCCCTGATTTTAGCCTCAAATTATTTGTAATCACTGCTGAAAATCAGGCTATTTTTACTTAATTGGTAATGATCTTACAAGTCTATTAAAAATTTACAAAGGACTTACTAGTAGATTGATAGAGTATTAAGAACAAAATTAAAGCATCTTGTAGTTTTATGTTTCTGCAAACAAAACTAATGTCTAATTTGAAGTCAATTGCTTTTGAGAGTGCATGTACATGCTGGAACAGATGCTGAAATAAAGAGGATATCATATATCAATATGCATGACTTTTTGGCTTCAATCCTATAATAAAAGTAGTGATTAATAATGGTTTGTATCTTTGAAAATTACCTGCTCACCATCAGCTCCTGGGATTCCTGGAGATCCTTGTTCTCCCTGTTAAGACAAAAAGCAATAGCTTACCTCCACTGATCATTGCTGACATACTAAAGAAAAAATTATGCTAGTTGGTTAAAAGTACAATTTGACTTTTGGCAAGTGCACCATAGCACACAGGTAGCACACAGGTAAATGCTCTTCTTTTTTCTTGGCAGTACTGAGTATTGGGGTTTGAACTCAGGCCCTTGCATTTGCTGGGCAGATGCTCTACCATTCTAGCCATACCCCCAAGTCCTAACTTTCTTGATTATATATAATCATTTTTATAAATCCTGGGTTTTTTTGTGGGAGTGGGGTTTGAACTCAGAGCTTCACACTTGCAAAGCAGGTGCTCTACTGCTTGAGCCACACCTGCTGACCTTTATAATTTTTTTTAATGGTAATGGGGTTTGAAGTCAGGATTTTGTGCTTGTTTAGGCAGACACTCTATTGCTTAAGCCACTCCAAGCCCAAGATCCAGTGTCTTAATTTTTTTCTTCCATGTGAGATGCAGGGTAAAAAATGGTAAAAAGAAATTGATAATTTGATTTCTGATCATATCCTATAGCAACACCTATGTGACTCAGTTAATATTTTCTTCCCATGAAATCTGTATGGTTTCTATTAACATAACTAAGAATGATTAAGACACAAAGACTCATGAATTTACAACAGTATTTTAACTGGCACACTTTGAAAAAGAAGTCATATTGATTTGAGTGTGCTATGTCCAGAAAAGCCTCTCTGAAGGATATAATAAATCAGATACTATCTTAATCTACAAAAAATTACTTTTAGATCAATTCAATTTCCTATACTATGCTAGGAATGAAATAAAATTTACTATTCATCTTATGACTTATTAGAACTTTTGACAAACTCAAAATACACAGATTTATGTTTGTTTTTTAACTGAAGATGGTCCATTAAAAACAAATTTAAACAATATGCTAGAGATTATTCAAACAACACATGTTTAGTCACCTTTCAGTTTTGAAAGGTACTGAACAAATTCTTTGAAAGGTAAGGCATTATTTGATATCAATGAACCATTTGTGTGAATCCCATGGCAAATATCCCTGATTCTCACATGTGGAAACTCTAATAAACAGCTCTTCTGAGTGTGAGTGGCCCACATCACAGACAGATTTCCAAGCCTGAGACTGTGTGTTCTAGAGAGGCTTGTTTGGTGATGTTACAAACCACAATGTTGAGATGGCCAGGACTCCTTCCCCTGGTAAAAACTTTAAGAGCTGTGGATCACAGCATGAAATTTGAGCTTCCCACTGTTTAAGAAAGGCACGATCTTGTGGTTCCAAACAAATGAAATAAAAAAGGAAGAAAAGGCCTTTCCTCATTTCAGATTTCCTGCTCTTTTTGGTAGCAGCAAAGTTTATTTTGCCACAAACAAGTGTGCTGAGGTTGGATGCACCTGGCTGAGCCCTAGCTGCTTTCAGAAATTGAATACTTGTCAGCACCGTCGGTCCAATAAGGATTGCTTTGCGAAGCTTGTACCTATTAAGTGTGACCCATGAATGCTTAAGAGAAAAGCAACATTTGTGCATTATTCATTTATACTTCATGCCTGGAATATGGTACTTAAGAGTTATTTGGTATGAAAGAAATCAAATAATCTTTGTTTGATAATGGAAGGAGAAATGTTAATTTGTTTTGCAACTGTGAGTCCAGATAGTCATGGCAGTGCTCTGTACTTGACTCAGGCTACATTTTGCTGTCTCACGGTTAGAGCCACATCCCTCCTCAATTATCTCAATCTTCTCAAGCAGAAATCATACACAGTATCAGACAACAAGATCTCAATTAAGAGACCACTAGGGGGTGGAGGAGTTATGGTGCTAGTACAGTAGGAACTACAGCAGGGCAGGAGGTAGGGAGACTAGCCAGCCCCCTCCCCATCACCACTTGTCTAGTCTTTCATCTGGCCAACTTCCCCTGGCTTTAAGTTTCAACTGAGAGCCATCCTTGACTCAGAGGGCCTTCCCATGTGCATCCAAACCACCTGCTTAATCAAAATACTTACTCTGTTAATGTTTGTGCCTTTAGTTGCCTATCTTGCCCCTGGGTTGTAAGCAATTTGGCAACATCTTTTACTAGTATTCTTATTAGTTTCTATTTCTACCACACAGTAGAGGCTCAAAACTTATTAACTGAATTAATGAATTAACAAATGAATACAAATTGGGTTACAAGGAGATTTGAGTTTCAGTAATATAGACTTTTTAGCTAGATGGTCTTTTTTATCTCTTTGGATCAAGGGATGGATACCTTCTCTGGGCCTTAGGGTATAAGGAAGAGTAAAGACTTTGAGGTTTGGTGGGGAAAGAAAGATGTGTTTGGCTTTGGAGTCAATTCTGGTCTTGAGATTTAGTTGTGTGAGGAGATGAAGCGAGGAACTTAACTGTGATTGACTCTACACAAAGGGAAAAGGAACATTCAAGATTCCTTCCTGGTGTCTAGTACAGCTCACCAAATAGTTAAAGAACCAGGATCTGGGCAGACTTGCTCACCAGGGACAGGGACTGTTGTATAACTGCAGCAGATTTTATGTTACATCTCTTAGGGACTAGAATATGGTGAAGAAATAGTTAAAAATCCTACACTTTATATCAATGTGATCCATGAAATGCATTAATGTTATATATGAAATCTGTTTGATATTAGGATCTATGTTCTCAATACAACTCAAATAGGCAAGAGTCTTAGTAATATTTTTACTTTATAGTCTTTTAATAGAAAAATAACTTTTGGTATGTGCTAGACTTCTATTTTTAAATATCTGGAAAGAGAAGAGCACAAAAGCTGATATATACATGTGTGTATGATAGATATAGCAAATAAACTGACTTCAGAAACATAAACAAATTTTCAAAACCACTTGAATCTCCTACAAGAATCTAATGACGAAAGTCATATTTCAACACGTGTAGCTCAGTTCTGAAAAGCCAGAATCCTCAGCCATGTGTTAATTGATCAAACATGGTTGAACGACTAAGCCTTACTTCAGAAAGATAAAGCTAATGCTAGCAACAAAGTTTACTTATAATCAAGTAATTCTAGGTTTCTACTGTTTGTAGTTAGTATGTTTCATTAGGTAAGAATTAAATGGTAGAATGTCTGAAAATATCTATAATAAAAAGATGTGTTAAAAACATAACTCGAGAATGATTCTTAAAATTCTCATTTATGAATGATCATGCAAAAGCTTCCCTTTTTTTCCCCCAAAAGATTAGAGGAAAAGATATTTCTTAGAGTAAAATTACTTCAATCCTTTTAAAAATAAATCTTTTCTTTTTTCATACACCTCATTAAGTATTTCTTTATATTTGTTATTTCTGTGCAACTTGTGTTTCCCTTGTTTAATATTCTTTATTCTTATCAGTCCTTCCCTAGATTTAGTATCATTCCCGTTTCTTTCCTTTCTTTCCTAATTTTCCTTTATTCCTTCCTAATTATCCCTCTATGCTCAGACCTTAATTTCTTTTCCTCACCCTCTGAAACAATAATGCTGATCTTGCTTCTATAGCAGGATGTATATACTTAACGTGGGCTTTCCTGCACTGTATATGATCAATGGGAAAAGTAAATAAAGAATAACCTTCGGCCCTTGTAGTCCTTGAGGTCCAGGAGGTCCAGGGGGGCCCTAAATCAAGACAAGAAACAGTTTTTTAAAAAAAAAGTAGCAGAATGGATTAAAACTCATGCTTTAAGTAATTACACACCTCCCTTACTTCTAGCACAGTCAGATATCTTCTGATACTAACGTGCAATGGGGAACATTTCAGCAGTTACATAGTTATAAAACTGCTTACTTGTATGTTAAACTATCAACACACTTCATAACACTGGAGGTGGTTTGAGACTGGTTCTGTAAACAGTTTAAAATGGCCGCCATGCTCTGTATACATCTTCTTGGGACGTTAGCCTGCTACTACTACCTGGGTTTTTAAAATATCCTTCTTACTCTCTGCCCCAAAGGATTTGATTTCCTAAACCCTAAAGAGCAATACTATATTATTAAGAGAAGACTAAAGACTTTTTAAAAATAGATAATAACTTTTTAAATGAAACAGGCAAAGTGATTCAACTAGGACAGATATTTTAAAAGGTTATTAACATAAGGAAACATAAAATTAAAAGTCACATAAAAACAGTCCCTACATTAGTACTGGACCAGTCTGCATGCATCAACACTAGCGACAAAATCACAAGCCACAGATACCATGCAATCCGAGTTACCGTAACAGTTAAGGTGGTAATCCTCTGTTGGGAAAATGTAGCAACAAAGACAGAGTTACCTATTTTGTGAGCCAGAGTATAAGAACACATTTCTGAATAGAATCAACTTTTGGAATATGTTTTGGCAAGTCTAATGTCTTCAAAGGAGCCGGCAAGACACTGCTAACATATTATCCTAGCTTCAATGCAGCACAGTAAAGTTTTTCAAAAATTGTTTTTAAAAATCTATGGGGAAAGAAAATAAGATGTGAAAAATGTAATTTACCTGATTAGAAATTATGTACTAAAGTAGTACAAACTAGAGGTTTGTCTGCATAATTGTGAACTGAGAAATTTGCTATTTGCAAAAGCTCTATTCTAAAGAGTACTTCAATTAAAGAAAATTGAAATATCCAGTTGAATATTTTTCTTTTTTGTCTATAGCTCATTTATTGCATTATAATTAACCTTTTGTTCCATACATGCTACAATTAAAGAATTTGACATTTCATTGATCTAATTTCTTAAAGTGCTAGAGTACTTCAATGAAATACACTCTCTTAAAGTATGAATTTCTAAAACAAGATTTCTAATCCATTAGTTATGTTTTAGTATTAAATTTTTCTAGTTTAGATACTATACTATAAGTTCTAAAGGGCCTATTAACCACTTTCTGAAACAAAAGGGGGGAGTATTTCTAGTAAGGACACTGGTTATAGAGAAACCTTGTTCAATTACAGGTGAACTTGTGGGTATCAGTTTGACATCATCCTTTGCTTTCCCCTATTCCAGCTGTTTTTTTGCTGTTTTTATTATTGTTCTTGTAAAAATAACCTTAATATTATCTATCTCACTTTACACAGTTGAGTCTTCAGTGAAATGGTATCATTTCTTAGAAAACAGTATGTTTAATACACATGTATAGACAAGTAAAGTTTGTATTGCATGATAAAATCAAACATGACCATTACAGCTTCAGAGAAAACATAGTAGGAAAAAAAAATCAGTATTTCTAAGACAAAAGGCAGAATATCCACAAACTGGGGCAGGTTATGGATACATCTAATGTATCCATATACATAGTGCATCTGTATATACATATGTGATATATGAAATAAGGGCCCAAAGTTTTATGTTGTCCTATCTGTAAGGTACCACTTACTTCATACTTGGAGGAATCTACAGCAAGAATTAGATTCACAGAGAGTGTAGATAAGTCATTTAAACAGGACTATTAGAAGATTATAATGTAGAATTAATTTCTTTACCACTGGCTTCCACTTACATTTTAAAGTTTTAACTAGAAAGCAGAATCACAAAACCATATAAAGGGAAGCAAGATTACAACTTGAACTTTCTGAGCTTTTTCCAATACATGAATTCATTTTTCCATTTAAACAAACACAAAGCTAATTTGTCATCTCAAAAAGTTTAAGGATAATAACATGTTTTATAACATAAAAGGATATTATTAATGGTAACTGAACTACCAGATGGGGTTTCAATGATGTGTCAACTATGTTTGTAAAACCTGGGTTCTACCCAGCTTACAGAAGAATGAATAGCAGTAAACTAGGTTACCTTCACCAATGCACCATCTTCATTACCACCTGGAAGCACCAGAGTGTAGGCATTCAGAGAAGTCCAAAAGATGTTAGCTTATTTTGGAATTCTTTGTATCTGGCTCCTCTCAGTTAAAGCTACATAAACCCAGCAGGGTTCTCTCTTGAACTCCAGTAATGATTTGAAAACCAGGATTTTTGGTAGTGATAGAGAAAGACAGGAAATTCTCTAGTGAGACATGATGTGAAATGGGAGGCCAGAGTTAGAGTGACTGTAAATTGGGTGAAGCCTAACAGGCTGCTCTGTGATTTATTCCGAGATACTTCCATGAGTCTTGTTAAACTTAAAGGTTATTTTCCTTCACGTCTCGTAATTATGCAAGCTTGAAAATCACTCTTGATTACACTAAAGAACAGGGTTAGTCTAAATGATGAGAATTTTTTAAAGCCTGAATTAGGAAACAGAGAGGTTTTATTGCTAATTGTGGAAATTTAACCACCTTAAATAAAATTAAAAAATAATTACCTTAAGGCAATGTTTATATAAAGAACAATTTTCCTTTCTTTTTATAGAGCAATGCAGTTTCACCATTTTTCTAACAGGATAGATAGAAAAGAGTAACTTCTACCAATACTGATAATACATGTTGGTGTGGAAAATGTACACATATTCAGAACTGGGAAGATGGGACTAGGCAGAATATCCTAGAAAGAGATCTAGCAGTGTTAGGCAGGGAAGGGGATAATAAGTAGGAGAGTAGCAGAGATAAACTCTCCTTCACTTTGCCTGGTATCAAAACAAAAATAATACAATGTCTCAGGGTTTTGTTTCACTCTATTATTTCAGTTACAGTTTGAAATAACTCAGCAAGTAGTTTGTTATAAAGGGTTTAAAATGTTTTCCATTCACCTACACATGAATGCTTGAGAATTATAAGCATCAATTCAGAAAATAAATGTCTTAAGTATATGGTACACACCCAATGTTTTGATTATATTGGGTGGTTTTATCTCTTAAGTTGAGTATTAGACCCACAGAAGTTATTTGTACTATTTTTGATACTTTTTAATAATCTGAACTATTTCATACATTAACAATTTTCAATAGAGGTCATGTAAAATTTTATACTTCTTATGTGATATTATTATAAGTAATATACTCCTACTTATCTAATTATCCTAGAGGGTTTTTTTTGGCAAATGTTTTGAAAGTAGGCAGTAATAAAATGACATCTCCAAAACTGTAACATCCATCACTGGTTAGAAAATTAGAAGGAAAAATGCCTATCACCTCAATCTAAATGTGATCTAACCTAGTTGATTTTTATTAGGGACTTTTAATCCTCTAGAGTACTATGTTAGGAAAAACCAGTAAAAGGCTCTGAAGAAAAATCAATCTGTAAGCAATTTTCAAGCACAAAATATTAACTATCCCATAAGGATAATAAATCTTTAGGTTTGGACATAAGCAGGAGCAAGCTGACTATGGTGGATATTGACTAGATCTTGTCTACAGTCATGCAGAACTTGAAGTGAGAAAAAGAAACAGAATATATGCTTTCATATCAAGAATTAAAAAAAAAAAAAGTACAGTGTTTCTAGGAACATCAGTAAAAAGTGGTCAGGAAGTCCTGAAAACAATCCTATTCTATCTCATCAACTCTTAGAGAAATATCTATTTTAATGACACCTTCATTTTCCAAATAAGAAAGCATAGATATGATTTCCCCAAAATGATCCAGCTAGTCAGTAGTAGAGGGAAGAGTAAAACGAAGATTTCCATTTAAGGCTAGGGGTAGCTGCAATGCCAGACCCTGTTCATGTAAAGAATGCTTTAAATACTTTTTCACAGTTTTGCAGAAAATGCTAATGAGATTGGAACATTTCTTGGAAGACAAGAGAGTGGATACCTCTTAAAGGTGAAAGCAAGAAATTGCATTAAGGGGGGCAGGAGGAGGTTGAGGGGGAGAGATAGTGGGGGTCATCTAACCAACATGCAATATAAGCCTATTTGGAATTGTCACAATGAATCTCCCCTGTACAACAAATATATCCTAGTAAAAAAAGGTGGAAGCAAGAATTATGGTGCCATTAGAAATAGTTTAAGGGAAATATTTAACACTGCTAGTGAAGTTTTTAAAAGTGTCCCTATATTTTACTGTATATGTAAGAACTTTGAAAACATAGTACCTGCACCAAAACTTTGTTTCCCATAGTTATCAACTTGTAGGAAAAAGTAAGCAATTTAGTAAACTGGCTCCAAAATTTAGCCATAACCTCACTGAGGCACTGCTGTGTCTGATTCACTTGTATTGAGAAATCCTAACTCAAGGCATTGACTGGATAAACTGACCAGGACATACTTTTTTTCTTGCATTTTACCAGGAAAAAAAGGCAGAAAACTAGGCTGAGCTGAAGATAGATTCTGTACAACTATTTATTTTACTAATTAAGAATGGTAGTAAAAGCAAAGGACTCAGAAAAGGGTAGCGCTTTGGTGAACTCATGATGATGGAAAATAATTCAAGCAGGTAAAAAGGAAGGGAAAGAGTTAAACACATAGCTTGTCTTTCAAGCTGAGATGACTTGTACATAAAGCATCCTTTTTTATTCCACTACTAATCATTGATTGCATATTTACACACCCAGGAAATACAAGTGCAAGACATATTTTCTGTCACCAAGAAACTTACAATCTGGGAAGAGGAAGACTAAAATCAATTACATGACTAGAGAATAACTAAATGTTAAACTGCTAGACCCTGACTGCTAATGTTGAAAAGGATTAAGAGGAAGGATAGGGTTCAGATGGATGAAAGAAGGGAAAGAAGAATGGGATGAACCCAGGCAAGGAGATTTGCATTGATATGAGAAAAATGATAGTGCCGGGGGTCTCTGTTATGGAGAGATAAAAAGTTCTGTACAGGAAAGGCAGAAATCAGATGGAGGGACCTTGGCTTGATGGGGTCATGTAGGGTTTTGAGTAAATTAGAGCAACTAAAGTCATGACAGTTTATGAAAATCATCCTTGACACACAGGTTGGATTAGAAGGATAAGGAGACAGGAGCAGGAGGGGAAGAGGGAGTGGTCAAGGGGTCATTATGGTTAGGTGTGAAGTAAACAATGCAGATATTGTTGGAGATATTGAGAATGGCTGACAGCAACACCTGGTGAGGTAGAATGGATGACAGACTAAGAATAATTTAAAAATGGGTGTAAAGTTTATATCCCAAGAAATATAAAGATTCACGTTGTCAGTAACAGAAACTGGTTAGTTTAGAATGGCAATCATTTGGTAGGTAGGAAACATAACCAGAATAATTGAGTGCTTTAATGGATGCCAATAAGGAAATGCTCCAACTATAGTGGAATTACTCTTATGAAGCTGGAGGCATACACAGATTAGACCTGGACATGAGGGAATTGGGTATCAACTCGTGGAAGAACACAGAGGGAGTGGCTGTCGTAAGAAAAGATCAGAGACTTTAGAATACCAAAAGTTAGAGGAGAAATCGGAAATACCAAAGCAGAATGAATCCATTAGAGAAGAAAAGTGGAAAATAATGAAACTAGAGAGATTGAAAGATTTTTAAAAATGAAGGTGGTTTGGTATAAATATCCCACAGAAAAGTCAAGGGCAAGAATACAATGCAATGGACTTTTCCTAGAGGTTGTTGTTGACCTTTGAAGGAGAAGTTGCAACAGAGTAATGATAGACACTAGAATGCAGGAATCTAAACATAAGCAGGATGAATAAGAAGCAAAGGTGGTAGGACAAGTCAGGTAGTCTATTTTTCTCCTAATGGAATGAAAATAACTGAATGGGAGCACTAATAAGAAATATACAGACAGCTAACCGTGCCAAGCACTGTTCTAAGCGTATGATAAAGTGTACGATATGTATTTAGTCATTGTCTCCTCTCAACAACCCAATGAAGCAAATACCACTAGTCTTCATTTCAAAGATGGGAAACCAAGGCATAGTGAAGCAGAGGTCAACCTTCAGTAAGCAAGAGAGCTCAGATTTGAACCCAACTAGCTCCCCGCTCCAGAACCACAGCACTCTTAATTGCTTTGCTATGCTCCCTCCTCAAGCAAGGAGGCAAAAAGCTGGCCAAACTCTCAGAAAGTTTACACTTGATAAGGCCTAGAATAATCCAAGGATGGGAGGACAGAAAGGAGAGATTCAAAAGTCACTACAGAGTAAAGATCACTGAGGCAGGAGAAGAGGATGGGCTCAGGAGAACAGGGTGCAGGTGGGCACTGAGTGATGTTCTGGGACCAGAGCGATGTGGGAGCTCATACTGACACACGTGGCATGGTGCCCGTTGCTGTCAATTCTCTTGTTGCTCAGACAGGGAGAAGTCACTTGCCTGTAAGGCTTCGTGGAGGTTGCCATTGTAGTCTATGATCTCGGTGGCTCCTTGATCGCCTTTTTGCCCAGGCGGACCCTACGACAAAAAACAGACCAAGGGAAAAATCATGGCACTCAGACTAACATATAAAACAGGACCACAATGAAAGCAGAAATAACCTGTATTTCTCTCTAACCATCACTTCCCTAAGATCCAACTGTACTTCAGAATAAATAATTATGTTCTTATTTCAAAGGAGGTGAACCACTTCTAATTTCTCGTCTAGGGTCAATATGAAGGCTGATTTTAAAAAGACATGATTTAATCTCTGAAATTGTCATCTGACAATTATAAAATATAGCCTAACCTGATGTAACATGAAATTTTGGCTTTACCCATGTTTATTAAATCAACCCCTAACCTCTTTCTACTCAGCTTTCCTTATAGATTGCTTCCTTACTCCTTATTTCCCACAGTGTTCTGTGGGAAACATTTGGCTTTCCCAATGGAACTAAAATTCCATAAAAATTTAACAAAATAGGGAGTAAAAGAGAATATATATGTATAGATATGTGTGTGTAAGTATAAATCTTCTAGACTTCTATGAATATATATGTGTGTTTGCATATATTCTAGACTTCTTCCTACTCATATCTGCTACATCAAGTACATCAGTCATATCCTAATTCCTTGTCTTTTATTTAAAAATGTTCAAAACATATGGGCTATTGCTCTCTTTATAACTCAGTTAATTAAAAAATGGGAAATTCTATTAGTTAGATGGCTGTGGGCTTGCCATTGCTCATTTAGCAGAGGGAAAGTGATAGAGTCTTTTTCTACCTTCTTCTCAATAAAGCTTCTTTTATGTGTGAAAATCCACATATTCACTGCTCTAGGAGGCTAAAATAAAAAATAAAGAGCAAAGTGGAGAAGGTAGCAGAAATAATCACAGTTGCCTATCTGCAATGCTACTATTGAGCACATTAGTCCAGATGTCTTTCATAAAGTCACACAGACACAAGTTCAAATCTAGGTTTGTTAGGGGACAACATTTAGTTAAGAGGCATACTCACCCTTGGTCCCAGAGTTCCAGAGTCCCCCTTGTCTCCACGATCACCCTTTTCCCAATGGAAAAATAAATAATTCAGTTAGTTGTAGGGTCAATGGCCTAGAATATCTCAAGTCTGCAGATGTATTTATGTCACACAGCAGCACTTTTAATATGAACTGTTAAAGTTGCAAACACCAGCAACCACCACCAAGGTGGAAAGTGCTTTTGTAAGATGCAGCTTGCAGGGAATTAAAATTCCCTTCTCATAGCAAGGTATCTCAGAACAACAATAATACAGTCTACATAGTAACTCTCTCTCTAGGTGGGATCTGTATAAGCCAAGCAAGTGGTTTCTATGGTGCCCAAAGCATGCTTTTACCTCTCAGAATGAGGCATGTTCTTTTTGATGAAAGGATTTGGGGCAAAGGGGGAAAGAGCCAAGCTATCACACTGCCAGTCCTCAGAAAAGTAAAGCATAGATAATTAGGATAGGGAAGGAGTGAAGAGGTCACTGTAGGGAGAATTAGGAAAGTAAGGTCACAGGCTAGGGCTCCCTCTGATGATGGAAATCTAAGGAAGCTTATTTGTAAGGTGTAAGGCATTTTAACACTCAGTGCTGAAGTGGACAGCAGCCAGCTGGAACAGGTTAGCAGGGCTGAAGGTCAGGCGCACACAGCCCTTTCTTTCTCTCTCTCTCTCTCTCTCTCTGTCTCTCTCTCTGTTCCCAATGCAATGTGAAAATCTCTGAAGTGTTAGTTATGGTGCCCACCTAGAAAGAGGCGAGAAGCTGGGATTATAGGTATGAATTGCCACACCAAGCTCTTTCTACACGTTTCTATGAAATGGGTAAGGATCGATGAAGGTAATCAGTAAAAAAGATTATAATTTTTCCCATCCATTAATCATACAATTAAATTTTCTATGAATGGAGAATTAATCATCTCTAATCTCCATTTTTCACTTAAAAACTCTGAGAAGTCTAAACTGAAACTTTAGAGAGAAGATGGGGACTTGTGTAGAGTTAAGCTTCTTTATAACATCTCACACTTAGAGCCCTTTTCCTATAAGGAATTCAAAGCATTTTTCTGTCTTTCTATATATTTCTTTTCTTCTTCTTCTTCTTCTTTTTTTTTTTTGACAGTACTGGGGTTTGAACTCAGGTCCTTGAGCTTGCTAGACAATGTTCTACCACTTAGGCCATGACTCTAGCCCTTTTTGCTTTAGGTATTTTTCAGATAAGGTCTCACACTTTTTGCCATGATGATCCTACCTTTGTTTCCCATGTAGCTGGAATTTCAGGCATTAGCCACCTTGCCTGGCTTGTTTGTTGAGATGGGGGTCTCACTAACTTTTTGCCTATACTGGCCTTGAACTGTGATCCTCCTGATATCTACCTTTTGAGTAGCTGCGATTATAGACATGGCCTGCCACACCAAGCCCTTTCTATACATTTCTATGAAATGGGTAAGATCAATGAAGATAATCAGTAAAAAAGATTATAATTTCCCTATTCATTAACCATAACAATTAAATTTTCTATGAATGGTGAATTAATCATCTTTAATCTCCAGTTTCATTTTGAACCCTTGTTTTTGTGCTATTAGCTAATAGCATTTTAAAAAGTGTGGTTCCATTAACAGTTTATAAGCTATTTCAGATAGCATAAGGACCACGACAAAGGGAAGAACTGCAATTGGTGGTGATATTTTAATGAAGGGAGTCAAATAATTCAAACCAAAAACATAATTTGAATATTTATAAAAAGGTAGTTAGGAAACAAAAAATAAGTTTATATAATACAAAGTGGAAATTAAGAAAAGTTCTTAATTTTTTCTAAATAAATTGCATTTTGAAGAAGCAGGGAATATAACCTCTCTTAAAGGAGACTCTGAAGCAGAACACCAAATAAAAACAAACAAGCTAAACCAATTGTTTCATGATGTTATCATAGGAACAAAATTACTGTAATCCCCGTGCATGGAGGAGTTCACTCTAGAATGATGGTCCAGGGGAAAAAAGCAAAACAAGAAGCACAGCTCTTGGAGGCCTCACGCTGCATTAAAATGGTTACCAGTTACTGACCTTTGACCCCTTTGGGCCTCTAGCTCCCGATTCACCTGGTTTCCCCTATTGTAGGAGAATATGAAGATGAAAAAGAGAATAACAGAGGAGATAAGAACAGAAAAAGGAAATTAGCAGTGACTCAGAATAATGAAGAAACACGAAAACACTTTAGCTCACTCCCTGGTCTCCTCACCAACCTTCACCCCATTATTCTTCTGAAGATTGCCCTCCCATCAGTGAATCGGAAGATGCCTGTGAATAATTCTCATTAGCCCCCAAAGTGCTTGTCTGCATAAATTTCCTTTACATCAGAGAGCAAGTTATTTCCTATGTCTCCAGGATGGATTATTAAAATAAAGTGTGACCACATTAGTTTTTAGGAAGTTTAGCTGAATAAAGATTGTACAGTCAAATAAATCCTTAGCTCTAATATTTTCAAGGTGTTACACGCTGTCATGTTACCATGGAAACGAGCACAGTACTTGCCAACAGAGATTTTTTTCTCAGTAGGGTGTAATTCACGTTGAGTGCTAATGGGTTATTATGACAGCACTCCTCCCTTTACATTCAGATGTGTCATTAAATTTGTCTACTGAACTGAGCAGAGTACACAGGGAAGGTTGAATTGTAAAAATTCCCTTTGAAAAGAACTGATTGGTATGCATTTTGTAAGCTATTTGTGATTTTGGATGTTTCTGTACCTGCTGGGGAATTACTTTCATGTTCTAAAGCAGGTAGCATGCATTTCCAAGTCAAAGAATGCTCTCTTTCAATGTAAGAGTAACTTACCTTTGGTCCAGGAGCTCCAGGATCCCCTCGCTCGCCTCTTCCAGGAGGCCCTGCCTCCCCACGTTCACCCTGTCACAAATTGCAAAACAGATAAATTGCAATCTTCCCCAGGCTGGTCCCTCTAGATGAATAAATAAGTTGAATAAAATCAAAATAAGCAAAGTCACCATCTATTTAGTACATACCCAATACATATTAATCCCTCAACTGAATTACCTTCATTTAAAAATCAAAGCAATCTCTGATGGTTAATTTTAGGGTCACCTCAACTGGATTAAGGAGTACCTGGAGAGTTGGTAAAGCATTATTTTGGGTGCACCTGAAATGGTGCTGCAAGAGGAGGTTAGCACACAATGCAGTGGACTGAGTAGGGAAGGTCTTCTCTCAATGTGAGTGCCCATCATCTACTCTGTTCAGGGATGGACAGAACAGAGGCAGAGGATAGGCAAACTATCTCTCTCACCCTCCCAGAGCAAGGCTATCCTTCTCCCTTCTTTTTCTGCCCTTGGACATCAGAACTTCAGACTTTCTAGGCTTCAGACTAAAGAACTTGCACCAGTGACCTCCGAATCCTCAGGCTTTTAGCCTTGAACTGAGAATTGCACCATCACCTTCCTTGGTTCTGAAGCCTTTGGACTTGGACTGGGCTGTACTACTGGCCTCCTGGGCTGTCCTCCAGCTTGCAGATGGCCTATCATAAGAATTCTTAGGATCCATAATCACATAGGTCAATTCCCCTAACAAGTTCCCTTTCATCCATGTATGTATGTATGTATGTATGTGTGTGTGTGTGTATATATATATATATATATACACATATGTATCTGTCTATCTGTCCATCCATCCATCTATCCACCCATTCAACCTGTTGCTTCTGTGTCTCTGGGGGACCCTGACTAATGCATAAAAATGTGCGATGTTTTCATTATCATTCTCATTTTATAAATAAGGAAATGGTTTGGTAAATGCCTGTCATATTAGCTATACTGGTAAACAGAAATACCTTTAAAAGGAACTATCATTCCACCTTAAGACAGTAATGGACATCTGTTCTCATTCTTTAGCCACTTGTTAAATATTTCTGGAAAGAAGCATGACCAAGTGATTAAAAACCCAGACTTTGTAATCTGACATCCTAGTTTTTAATCCTGGCTTTATTATTCACCAGTTCTGTACTTTGGGAGGAGGTAGTTAAATTTAGGAACCATCACTTTATAAAGTAGAGAAAATTATAATACTGATCCTATATCTTATGCACATAAGGTATTTGGAATAATGAAATACACAAGTGTTATAGCTTTTTAATACACTCATAGCATTGTGAACTCACACGAACAACATAGTTAAGAATGAAGGAGAAACATAAGGCTGTGTGTGACAGAGGAGGAAACTCCACTGAGTTCTGAATATTGTAGACTGGCTCCCTGGAACTGAAGGATAGGGAGGGTCTACTTTACACCCACAGATAAAGGCAGAAACTGTACAAATCACATGTGTTATCCTATTTGGTGCTCAGGACAAATAAGAATCCATATTCTACAGACAAAAGGTATACAAATAATCATGATTTTTTTCTCTTATGCAATAGAACTCATGTTAGCTGATAATTAACTTCTAAATATTGCTAAATGAAATGAATTTCCTATCCATATCCCTGCATATAAAAATACCAAGCAGGTATTGAGCACTGAGCATTGTTTCCTTTCATTGGGGGTTCAGAGCAGTGTCTGTTATAAAGTATGTGCTCTATAGAATCATGCCAGGTCCGTTACAAAGTAATTAATGTTGATTTTATGGTTCTGCATTTGGATCTTTTTTTGAAACTCTTTAGAATCAGTTAACTAAAGAAAAGATGTTTAGGAATAAACTGCACTTTCTACTGCCTGGGCTTCTTCTATTTTCTCTTGTATTAGCAAACAAAATGTCAGTCATTTACAGATGTAGTTCCTGCTGGTTTTCTCCTATAGCAACCAGCCTGCCCCTGTCCTAATATGTTGTGTTCCTGGCAAGGCTGCCTCCTTTCCTGCTGTAAGCAGGTTGAGGAGGCTGTAAACCCAATAAACACATCAGCTCTTCTGTGTGCATTATTCTACTCTCTCTTTCTTCATTCCAGAAAGGCACTTCTTGTGTGAATCTGCTCAGGCTAAAACAGGAACTCTTCACACTTTGTTAATAAACCTGACAGCTTATTATGTGTGAAAGAATTTCTTAATAAAACAATTTTGCATAATTCCACCAAATTTTATTCCTTCTCAGGCCACACCATTTCCATTTGGTAGGATAAGTTATTTTCACTTGACCAGCAGAAATGAGGACCATTCTGTCTGAACAGACCATGAACATATTTCTCTAACTATTAGACATCACCCCTGGTTTATTTCTGGTGAATGCAGTACACATCCAGGCAAAAACTGCTATGTTTTAAAATAAAGGAATGTAGTTTGATGCAATTTTGTTCCTTCTTTGATTCATGAGTCTTCTGTACCTTTTTATGTCTTATTGGGTAGATCAAAAGAGAACTCTGGGCCTGATTATATTGCAGCAACATACTTTTTTTTACATGGTAGTATGCAAATTTTGCTTTTAGAGCCTTCTCTAGGGTTGCCAAGCAAGAGGCTATGAGATGGTTTTCATTACAGAATATTTCTGCAGCAATCACTCAGGGTGGATCCTTTTGGAGTGCAACACTTAGGCTTCATTCAAGTGACATTTGCACTTGCCTTTGAAATCTAGAGAGTGATACGAATAGTGGTAATGTTTGACTTACAAGTATATCTTAAAATAGGTGATAAAGAGCAGGAATTAATGAGTTGTATCTCTTCTCCTTACAATTTCTGTACCTTCCCATATGGTCAGGAGGCTAATAACATTGTAGCCGTTTAGGAGGAACAACTAATGTATCCCACTAATTCTTGTCTTCCCTAAGGCTTTAAGGAATTAACTTCCCATTGATCTATTTAATATGCTGTTCCCTTTAGAAGTGCCATTAGTGAATGGATCAGTGCTTTAGTTCTCTATAAGGCAGAGAACTCACCAAAATAGTAGAGCTATCTCACATTTCCTTCAACTTAAATGACAAAAATTTCAAGAGGAAAGGAAGGAAGACAGACTGCACTTACTTTTGTTCCTGGTAATCCTGGTAAGCCTGGTTCTCCTTGAGGACCAATGAAGCCTGGTTCTCCCTTTTAAAAGATGACATACAAGGTCATTATTCATTTGACAGTCAATAAAGCTAAACTCATTTCATCCTACTGGGTTTTTACTTCATTGATTGTATATAACTTTTTTGTTGAGATCAAGTTACTGAATATAAAATTAAACAGCATTGATTTTGATCCAATGAAAATTCTTTAAACTCTGGAGCAGCTTTAGAAAGTAAGCAACAAACTAATCAGATAAATGTCTTTACAACTTCCTTCCTCATCCATTGTCTAGTGTTTCTTCCCACTTACCAACTTGAGACCCATTGTATTTGGGTGGATGTGGCAGGTGGCCTCTAAGATGGGCCGCAGGTACTCCTCTCCTTTGTTTATGCCTTATGTAATCCTCACCTCTTCAGTGTGAGCTGAATTTACTGATTCACATCTAATAAACAGATGTGATGGCTGGGGTGATAGGATACCACTTCTGAGTTTAAGTTGTATAAAGGTTGTGGTGGCTTCAGTCTTGGGAGACTTTCTTGTTCTTTCTTATTTGGATCACTTGCTTTGGGGAAAGCAAGCTGCTCCATTGTGAGTAGCTCTATGGAGTGGCCCACCCAGTGAGGACTGAAGTTTGCAATGACCATATATGTGAGCTTGGTAGTGGATGTCCCATCTCCTGTAGAGTCTTCTGAAGAGAACACAGCCCTGGCTACCAGCTTCACTGCTTTCCTGAGACATTGCGAGGCAGAGGCATCTGCCTATGCTGTATTTGTTCCTAAGAAACTGTGAGACAATTAATGTTAGTTGTTTTGAGTCAGCAAGTGTTGGGGTAAGATGGTAGGCAGTGACAGATAACTGATACAATAGATGCAGCTAGGGAAGAGATTCAGGAATGTTCAACATGAAAGGAAAAATATCTCTCCTTGTCATACTATCTTCACTACCTGGAAGAAATTATGCTGTGGTATAATAAAAAAATATATTTGGTCTTGCTTCCTCATTCCTGGCACAAACCTTCTAAAACCCATGGAGTTTTCTGAGTGTCAGGAGTGGTAAGCAGCTTCCTTTGTTACCTATAACCAGCTTCTTCTAACCACTCTTGAGTTTATGCAAACGAAGTGACTCTTGGTAGACCCTAGATAGCTTCAGGATGGGAAGTGGTTGCCAGTGGAATCAACCCTGTGACTACAGAGGTGGAACTTTCTGCTTTATCTACTGACCTCTGAGAAGAGAAAGAACTGGAGATAGGGTTCAATTACCAATGGCAATTGATAAAATTACCAATTTTATCAATCAGACCAATGTAACAGAATCTCCCTAAACAACAGGGATTAGATAGTTGGTAAACAGAGTTATGTGCTAGGAAGATGGACTATTCCAACTCCACAGGACAGGTGCTCTTCTGCTTGGCACTCTTGTGATTTAGTCATCTGGGTGTTCATTTTTACCTTATAATAAAGTGTAATGGCAAATAAAGCACTGTCCTAGTTCTGAGTCATTTTACCATATTAGCAACCTGAAGGGTGTTGTGAGAATCCCTAAATTTGCAGCCAAATCAGACAAAAATGCAGGTAACCTGGGAATTCAATATGTGCAAACGAACTTAGGTTAGTCATGTGGGGATGAGCCCTTAAATCTGTGGAGTCTGATACTAACCAAGACAGTGTCAGAATAGGATTGAATTGTAGGAGACCCAATTGTTGTCAGAATCAGTTAGAGATTTTGTGTTGAAAAAGAAACCACATATTTTGTGTTTTTTTTTAAAACCCTGACTTGCTGTTCAAAATGTCTTGAATATCCATAAAGTTTTATTTTCTTTTTAATTATTCAAGCTCAAATGCAAGGGTCTGATTACCTAAAATGTAAAACCTATAACAAGAGTTTAAAGCAAAACTTATGACTCTGCTTCCACATTTCCTGTTTTATTCTTTTTTTTTTATTATTATCTCTTGTTTTATTCTTGTTTAGATTATTTCTGGAACAGTTATTAGATATATTTTATTTTTTAAGGCAGTAATATCTCCACTTTGTTTTATGATACCAGAAGGTCAGCAGAAAAATACAGAGAATGTTTCATAACATGTTAAAATGCCATTAAATATTTTTCAAAAAGTAAACTTTTCAGATATGCTTTGTAAAACGTTATGTTTAGGGTGGGGCACACAAGGATCTGACCTCCACAAAACATGCCATTGACATACAGCTCAAACAGAGTTATCTCTGACTTGGATACTCAGAATATTACAGGGGAAAAAAAAGGTAAGGGTAGGTAACTAATGTTTTAGGTTTATTGCTTATCAACTTTCTACAACTCCCTACTTTCCTGTCACTATAGCCTTCCATCTAATGGGAAGGAAAATCTGACAGAAACTTGGGGGTAGATCTTTAATACTCTAAAATAAAAATCTGAAATCCATTTAAAAGAAATCAATGATGACCATACTTCTACAAAGCTTGTTTTTCATAAACAAAATATTAGGAATACATTTATAAGTAAAATATTTCTCCTAGTAAAATGATACATACAAATAAATACTCCCTCTGTATACTCAAGAGAAATGCTGTATTCAACCTTATAGTTGCCAATCATGACTTAGTGCATGAAAACCTAATTGCAAATTAATAGGCTGAAATTTTTACAGGTAGACAAGAAGTCATATATCTTCAGGTAGAAATAAAATGATCTGTCTAGCAAATCAAAGAATTACCATTTAAACATACTAATAAAAGAGAAGAAAATAGTGTAAATGTTGCAGAAACAGAATTCTTATTTAGGTTAGTACTTAGTTTACAAAAAAGATGAAACATGCAGCTGCATAATTCACAAAAACAAACAAACAGGGCTTTGTGATCTCAGTGGTCAGACAAATATGGTCTTTACTCCTTTAAAAAATATAAATTCCCCTTATTAAGAATATAGAAAATTACTTTAAATAGAATGTTCAAAGGCTTTGAGTATGATTAGTTGTATCTGATCATGCCACTCCAAGAAAGTGTCTATTACACATCTGACACAGTTCTTATTTCTATTTATTTAAGGAGCTCAGGGTCCCTGGGCCTTTCCAGGGAGTCCTTACAGTCAAACTATTTTCACAATAACACCAGGCAAATTACTTGCTTTTCCCTTCACAAATGGAGAGTTTGAAAAGTTCATGATATCATTTCAGATTCCATGTTGCACCTAACCTTTAAGAAACTGCCACTTGTGGAGTTTGGGGAAGTCTGAAAGCATATCAACAATTATATCTGAATAGGCTATTGAAACAACCTTCCCTTGTCCAATTACATACCTGTATGAGGCTGGTTTTTCTTAAAAATATTTCAACCAAAACAAATTGAATGTAGAAGCAGACATGAAAGTCAACTGCTTTAAGTCAGACATTAAAGAGATTTACAAAAACAAAAACACATACCCACCATCCCACCCACACGAACATTACTCTTGCAAAACCTTTCTGGCCTCATTTTGGAAAGTTCAGTTATTCATCAGAAAACATATTATTTAATTAACAGGTAATAAAAGCATTTCAGTTTCCATTTCTAATAAGAAATATCAATATGTATAATCAACTAAACAAAACCTCTTCAATCAGAACTGTTAAGAGTGTAGGAGGTCCTGGGGCTGTATGTTTGGAAACTGCTGGTACAACAGTTCAGAGTTGGGTTAAAGCCCAACTTTCCAAGCTATAGTCCTAAGGCTGCAAGTAATAAGATATTCTGCCTTCACCAAGAAGATGCTTTGACAAGACTTTTGTGAACAAAGCCCTTAGTTATCGCTTCATGAGACAATATCTATCTGCCAGGACATTTAAGATTGCAAATCCTAAAGAGGTTTAAGAATTGGGTAAGATAAAGATGTGAGAGGTTTGCTAAGAGTGAGTTTTCCTCTTTTAAGGAAGGGAAAGGATAAAATAGTCATACCTGTTGAATTTTCCTAAATAAATGCAATCCTTTAAAAACATTTCTTCTTTGACAAGAACTGATACATGATATAATCTCCTGAAAAATCTATAAGAAAGTCAATGACAATCTAAGGTTACATAAAACACTTTGTGATATAAAAAATAAGCAAGTGGCTATTCTCCGAAAGTTAAAATTCCTGTTAACCAGGATAGAGGAAAGAGAGGGTCAAGGTGAAGGAGCAGATGAAATGATTCACAGAAAAACACTTTTGGGAAATCACTTTTAGAGTAAATCAGAATATATACGAATGAGATTACCTAAGTTTTTAGGGCAACAATAGGAGAAATAACTATTTATTTTGGATTATATAATGATTCTCACAAGTCCTTTACATATTTAATCTCATTTAATCAACTGGAAGTAGAAAGATAAACTGAAAATTATTCACATATATTTATCTGAGTAGACAAGTTGGGAGATACAATAGAGGAAATCAGAACCACAGGGAATTAAACTCTAGTATTACTTTTAATGAAGGAAAAAATAAACCCAGAGGGTCTTTTTTCTTCTTTTTTACTAGGCAACTACCTGAATTAGAAAATTCTTATTACAGTTTCAATGAGCCACTTTAGGATTAATATAGAATATAGAGCAGCGGTCCTTTGAAATGGGAAAGTACTGAGCCAGGTATCAGTGGCTCATACCTTTTATCCTAGCTACTTGGAAGGCTAAGATTGGGAGGACTGTGGTTTGAGGCCAGCCTGGGCAAACAGTTCATGAGACCTCATTTCCAAAATAACCAGAGCAAAGATGGACTGGAGGCATGGCTTAAGTGGTAGAGACCTACCTGCTTTGCAAGTATAAAACCCTGAGTTCAAACCAGTCATGAAGAAAGAAAGAAGGGAGGGAGGAAGTGAGGGAAGAAGGGAGGGAGGGGGGAGGAAGGAAAAGGGCAGGTGCTAGCTACTTCATTCAGGAAGCAGAGTTGAGCAGCAAGTAAAATAAATCTATTACTAAAGCGAGAACATGACTTTTTCTGAAATTATTATTCTTTTAAGCTAGTGATCTCTTAATGCTTTAAAAAAGAAAATAACAAAAATGCTTTTTAGAAAGTGAGAGAAAGGCTGAGGTTTCTA